AGAAACATCAATGATGAGAGAGCCATTGATCGGCTGCCTCCTGCACACCCCCGACTGGGGATGGAGCCCACAACCTGGGCATGTGCCCTGACTGGGAATCGAACCCCGACGGCCTGGGTCCCAGGTTGACACTCAACCACTGAGCCACGCCTGGCTGGGCAAGTCTTTTCCCGTTAAATCACTCTTTATCTCTTTGTGACACCTGCAGCTATTGCATTAATGACCACAGCAGTGATCTCTACCTGCGACCATGGGATAGTAGCCAAGATCAAGAGAGTGATTATGGAAAGAGACACTTACCCTCGGAAGTGGGGTTTAGGTCCAAAGGTATGTGGGACTGGGTGTGTGCCCTGCCAGGTTATTTTGTTGAGCGGTGCTGAATACTTGGGCAGCTTTTGGTGTTACCCCACTGCCACAGCCTTGCCTTGTGCTGGGCTCTGAGGAAGTTGGTCATGAATAGGAACTGACCCGTCTCAGACCTTAGAGATTTCCGTCTGATGGGAGGAAGCAGATGGGCATCACTCAAATTGCACAATACAACGGTGGATTTTAGTCAAGTTGAGGGTACCTGGAGAGTCTACAATGAGGGATTTAACCTGTTGCGGAGATCTGGGTAAGGGAGATTCACTTGAGCCATGCCAGTGTGAAGGATGTAACATTAGATGGTGATGAGGTAAAGAGGGGAGGGAAGAGTCCAGGGCAGCTGGAATAGTATGTGCAAAAGCCCTGTGCCACAAAATGACACTGCAGAGGCTCTCACTAAGACAATAAGCTTCATGACCTTTAACAAGTCCCATGTTTGTGCGTATTGGAGAGGGTGAATTTTGAGTGCTCTATAGAGGAATGTGAGGCCCAGGTGAGAATACAAAAGGGAGAAACTTTACTTGCGCCAAGTGCATCCAGTCATTATAGCTGCTATATGTGTTGACACCGTTCTGACATTGAAATCCTGATGTTCACCAGGCAAGTCAGAAGAAGCTGATGATCAAGCAGGGCCTTCTGGACAAGCATGGCAAGCCCACAGATAGTACACCTGCCACCTGGATACAGGAGTATGTTGACTACAGGTGAGGGCAGGAGGTTTTAGAGACCCAGGGCAGGTAGAGACTGCACAGTTGCCCCGATGCAGTAGTCCGTCAATTACAGGTGAGGGTGTCAGCAGTGGTGAGGACAGGAGCATTTAGAATTTGGAGGGCCAGATGCAACATGCTGGCCACCTGGATGAGTACATCAACTACAAATGAGGACAGGAGATCACAGGGCCCAGGTGTGGGGAGGGGGGTAGGTTTAGTTTGGAGGGGTGATTTGCTAAATGTGGGACTAAAGGAACACGTGTGGCCAGTCACGAGGCCTTAGGGCCTATAGGGTAGCAGCAGGTTGCTTCACCTTGACTGCTTGGGCCTCTGCAGCAGACAGTTATCCCTTTCTAGTCTGGCTTGTGGGACTCTAGAGGGAGTCAGTCTGCAACAGTAAGTGGTAAGTTCTTTTGTCCAGCGTCAGTATTTTGATGGTGGCTTTAAACTTGCCAGATATTAGTGATTGACTGTGGATGAAGCAGTCCCTCCATGGAAAGCTGTTCAGCAAATCTAACTGATTGCTACCTCTCCTTTCAGTGATGTGAAGACAGAGGCGGTTGCTGAAACAGTAAAAGCCTCAAAGGTGAGTGGCATGCTGTGATTAGTTTGGAATGTACTTTGGGATATGGTTCTGTTGGCTTATTCCTGGTGACTGTGCAGTCCAGCCATATATCCTGTCTCAGTACGGCAGGGCCTTTGGCCCCTGTGGGTGCATGGTGCACAGAGATGATGTGTTGTACCCCAGGGTACTTGTTTGGGTTCTGTAGGTGCCAGTTCACTTTCCTGTTGTGTCTGTTGGGAGACATGTGGGCTCAGGAATCAGATCTGCCTCATGTTCCACCTCAGCTTAGGCAACACCACTGAGAGAGAGTGGGGGTGCATATTATTCTGGCCCCCACCCTGAGTCAAATGATGACACAGGTGTGTTGAAAGCAGAGGCTATGACACTTGGAGCTGTACAGAACTCAGCAGGAACAATATCACCTGAGGCCGGCAATTGTCTCTAGACGGCACCAGTTCAGTGTTTCAAGTTTAAGGAGGAGAGCATGTGGTGGCAGCTTTGCTTCCCAGGGTTGGGGACCACTGGCATTACAGCACAGAATGACATGTGTGGCAGTGAGTGACCTGAAGCAAGCTGTCTGGAAGAGCTTTTCCTGTCTTGCCTGCCTCCTTTGAGGACATTTGGGAGCACCTCTAGGGGACATGTAGTTCAACTTTTATATACTAGTGAGGCTGGCCTCCAGAAAGTCAGCTTGCTCAGGGCCATTCATTCCCTGAGCTCCATTCTGCTGCTGTTTTGGTGCTCCTGCAGTGCCCATGGCTTCCTGCTCTTTGTGGATGAGACCACCTTTGAATCCTCGGTAAATTTAAGGACCCTCCTGTGGTACCCATGCAGGATCTTTTCTGGTGGCTCCTCAACTTTTGACTTTCTGAACCTTCCTATCCATTTTTGCGTAAGATCTAACATTTGACCCAACGTCTCCACCCTAGCGCAATCGAGAGAGTGAAAGTGATGAGACTTCGCCAGAGTCTCCAGAGCCAGTTAAGAAGGAAAAGAAGAAGAAGAAGGATAAGAAGGCCAAAGCCGCTCCGGAGGGTGCGGGCAAGCCGGGAGATGGGGTGTGTACAAACGCATTCGGGATACTTCCTTGGCGGGGAGTTGGGGTGTGTGAATTGCCCGGTTGGTACTGGGTTGGCTACTTGGGGAGCTGCCCAGTATTATTGGAGTGCCTCTGGCCCTCACTACCCCAGCGGGATGTAGAGACAGGCCGTGGCATTTTATAGTAACTGCTCATAGAATTCTGTTGATGGTAGGTGGGGAGGATGTGTAGCTTGGGAATCTGAATGCTCCTATTTGTAAAAGTGGACCACTGGAGTACAGCTGAAAAGCTCAGGACTTTGTGTTATGTGCAGAATTGTTTCACCCAGGATAGCCTGACAGATCCTGAAAAGGCTTACTTAACTGTGTAGAACTTCCCTGATTTCCTTTTTGGGAGAGAGGCAATAGTTAACAGATTCTGTGAGCTTGCTTTCTCTTTGTCACAGGACAGTGATACCACCAAGAAGAAGAAGAAGAAGAAGAAAATAAAAGTGGAAGTACTTTCTGAGTAGTGGAGATCACCTTAAGCACTGTGCAGCTGGGAGGAGAAATTAAAGCCTTATTGAGAAAACATAGTTCCTTTTGTTCTTAAGGGAATTTGGAATGAACATAGATCCCAGAAAGGGTGGAGAGTTGAGGCACATTTTATCTGCTATCCGAGACCTGATTGATGTTACCTGGTGTGGTCATCCCATCTTGTCCTGTTTTAAGGATACGGGTGCAGGAGGCAGATTGGACACAGCCCCTTCTCTACTTGGAAGAGTTGGGAAGCCTTGCCTTCAGACCCCCCACTGCCCAGTAACCATGCGCAGCTGTTTCCTGATGGCTGTTTTATCATCGTCCTTGACTCACTTGCTTCTGCTACTCCCCACGCCCTTCTCTTTAAAAAGTTTGTAAAAATTGCACAGTGAAATGGTGTAGAGCAAGTAAAAGAATATTTGTTTACTGGGGGGTAAATCTCCAGTGTGCTGTGAGGACAGTGGTCTAGCCTGGTGTCAGCGCCACCTTTGTTACTCCTTATTTCCAGTCCCCCTGGCCTAGCGGTGCACTTATTCAAGCTTGTGTGTAGAGCCTCATGTACCTCAATCCATTTGACTACTTGTGTTTGTGACAGAATCCAAAATGTATTCTCTTGTTTTTACCCTTTTTCAAAAGATGCAATCAGTTGTTGCTGGGTTGTAATTTTTACTTATTAAAGTTTGCTTACTACGTTTTGTAAGTATTCCTGTTGGGTTTTCTAATTGATGGTGATCTCCAACTAGTAGACCAAAACATAATTTGATTAAAACTCAGGGGACCTTTATGTTGTATTTAAAATTTGATGTTATGTAATGGATCTGGCAGAAAGTGTCAGTGTCTGTGTGTGTATGGGAGGGGGAATGCCTGGAAAAAGCCTGAGGAAGCATGAAAGAGTTCTTGACAGGCCTTCAGGTATCAGGCTCAAACCCAATTGTAGGAGCCCAGTGAAGCTTTGTGCTGATGGCCCAGTAAGTGGCAAAAATTGGGATAGTGGTGGATGAATGTTCAGGAATCTGAAGGCCTTGGTGAGGTCTAGGATTGCTTCCAATCTGGTACCTTAACCCATGAAAGAATGTGAAGAGCAGCTTGTGGGGCAGGTCTCCAGATGCAGCAATGAGAAGCCTTTGCAGGTATGTGCATCCTAGTGCCCAGGACTCACCACTAGGCCCAGAGGCTGGGTTTCCCCCCTTCCCCCACTCTAAATGTGGCCAGAATGTAAGCCTCTAAGTATTAGCAGGAAGCTAAATGCCTTCCTCTAATGGGTTCCAGAATTAGACTTCTATGTGGACACCAGGCTTGGGACCTGGGATTGGGGGTTTCTCCAGGGTACAGGTTCATAATCCTAGCAGTTGCTCATTTTCGCTTGAGAGTTTAATCTGGGCAGCCAGTCATGTGGATGCTCGAGTCATCTTGTGAATAAAGAGAAAGCTAAAAGGAGTGACTTAGGAAAATGGTAAGATTTGTTGGCATGTCATAACAAAGGCCAGTGCAAGTGGAAGCAAAGATGTTTGCTTTCCCCATGGAGCAAAACTGGGCAATCTTACACCTTTGTTCTCAAAGTATTTTTTGTATATTGCATGTGTACTTGTACATATACCTGTGATGATGCACCAAGTTGTGCCCTGCCCAGCACATGGACACCCTCCCCCTCCTCCCCCCACAAGAGGTAGGATAATTCTGATCTCTCAACCCTTAAAATTGTTCAAGCCTTGAGGGAAGCATCTAGTGTCATTGCCATCCTATGGGAGCTTAAAGGGAAATGACGTTTCCCTTTCCAGAGGTAAAAACCCAGAGTTACAAGGTCATTAGCATTTTAACTAGTATTTTTATTGCTTTTGAGGGTTTTCCTAAAGCATACATCCTATTGCACAGCTGTTTCATTTTGGCCTTTTAGAAAGTTGCAGTAAAAAAATTGCTTTCTTCATAGTAAAGAAATGAAATGCCCAGTGTGATTAAAGGTGAAGGAGCGCAGGCTTTAGAGGGGCAGGGTCCACTGCTTTTCCTCCCCATGTGTGCCATCTGATTTGCATTTGGATAGTGCTTCTGGCCACAATTTCCAGAAATCCTTTTGAAATCCTGATATATGGAGCCCCATGTATCAGGAACACCAGAGCCCAGCCCTTCAGGAGCTTGAATAAGACTGACACCCACTGGCCTAATTAAGGTAGTTGCATAGAGTTGGAAGCTGACACAAAACTAGCTGGAGTGACCCTCTGTCTTAAAGCAAGGGGAATGGAGTTCCAAATACTGGAGAGGGCATACAGTAGCTTCATTCTTCAAGCTTAGTAAACCCAGGAGACAGGCACCCACTGTGGAGAACTGCACGCCTGGTCAAAGGCTTCTTGCAATTTCTTAAGGATTTCATCAACGCCATTGTTGACCAGTGTGAGGTCAAAGTAGTGAGCGTACTGGCTGCGGATGGCTTCTGAGTCCTTCTGCAGCTGCTGCAGGGCTTCCGTCTGCAAAGAAAGAGCCACTGATGAAGCAGGCTGCAGCATGCCCAGTCCAAGAGGCTAGTGACAGCTTTTAAGTGGGTGTTGACTGTTTTGACCATTGCCTGGCTCACAGTCACCTGCTTAGAGACAAACTCTGAAGACCTTGCTTGAGAATGTTAGAAGGGCACAGAGAGCCAATCAATTATGAATAATTCTCAGAAGATCTCAAACTAATCAGAGCTCTCTGGAAGACCAATAGCTATCTCCCAGTTCTTACCTTTGAATGTGGATAGCCATTTCAGCACCCACTGGAGCTGCAATCCCAGGACAAGCTCAAGTGCAACTTAGAACCCAGAACCAAGTGGCCATGAAAAGACTGATAATTTAACTTCATGAAAGTAAAAATGTTTCTGTAGCAATAAGCACCAAAAGACATGCCAAATTGGAAAAAAATATTTGCAGTTGATATCACAAAGGGCTAATTGCTCTAATACAGAGATCCTAGAAATCAATAAGAAAAAGGCCAATAACCCGACAGAACGATAAGCTAAGGACATGACAAATGGCCCTTAAAAGTCTAACAAGAGCCTGGCCAGCCGTGGCTCAGTGGTTGAGCATTGACCTAGGATCCAGGCGATCGGGGTTCGATTCCCGGTCAGAGCATGTGCCTGGGTTGTGGGCTCCATCCCCAGTTGGGGGTGTGCAGGAGGCAGCCGATCAATGACTGTCATCAATGATGTTTTATCTCTCTCCCTCTTCTTTCCTCTCTCTGAAATCAATAAAGATATATTAAAAAAAAAAAAAGTCTGACAAGATATTTAACAGTTTATAGTACAATGAGATTCCATTTTCCCCTCTATTAGATTGGCCAGAAATGAAAGTTTGGAAAACATGGTCCTGGCACAGGGAAATAAGCACTCTCCCAAGTAATAATCTCTGAATTCCCAATTCCCAAAGCATGCATACTTGAACCCAGCAATCCTGTCTGGAATTTTTCCTAGAGATATATTTGCACACATGTGCAATGCCATATGTACAGGGCCATTAGTTGCCATATTATTTATAATAGTCTAAATTTTAAAACAACCCAAATAGCCATATAGAAGGGAACAGTGATACAAAATAATAATGCTACATACATGCAATGGGAAACCATGCAGCTATTAAGGAAGACTGAAGAAGCTCTCCACACACTGGTGTGGAAAGATCTCCATTGTGTTCAGTGAAAAAGCAGGATGCAGCAAAGTGTGTGTATGGTGGGTGTAGAGCAGGTAGGAGTGGGAGCAAGGGAGACTTTTCAGTCCATTCCCAGCCTCCTTTCTCTCCTTTCCCACACTCCCACAGCCATAGCAACCCCACACCACAGGGTGGATTCAGTCTCCTCCACAGTTGCCCCTGCTTGCCCCACTTGAGCCCACGTCACACCAGTGTGTCAAGATTTACCCGACTGTCCATCTCTGCCACTGGACCGTGGGCACTTCTGGAACAATGACGGTGTCGCCATTACCCAGCATAGTAGTTGGCCTAGCTAGTGGTTTAATAACTGCGGAGTGAATCAAATGTGCATATGCCCTTTGGCTTCTTGGCCTTGCAGGAAGGACAGCAGTAGTCAGTAGGCTCATGGGAGATTTGGTCACAGGCAGAAGCTGAGCTCCAGCCAGTACTCTACGCAATGACCTGGACCGATGTTCCAGTCTGGAGAGGCCTAGAGAGTGAACCCCGTCCCACCCTGCACAATCCCCTCCTTCCCACCTGAGTGCCTTGGTCAGTAGGTGTGATAAACACAATGAAAGGCGAAAGTTCTGCTGTCCGGACAATCTTTAGTGTCTAGAAAAGAGGAAGGGGAAGGCAGAAAAGATTTAAAAAAGTAGTCAGCTGTCATGATGCATTCCTTCTAGTAAGTATCTTTGGGCGTCACCAAGCCCAGTACTATTTCCATCATTTCCTGTACTATTGTTCTTCCAGAGGACCCCACTGAAAGTATATGAAGCAAATCTGAGCTCCCCAAAGACTCCCATGAGCTTTGCTCTTCAGCTCCCTGTTCCCATGCACTCCTGCTTTTCCATGCCTACCCACCTGGGGCTCGATGTCAAGGATGGCAATCTTGTTCTGCTCATGAATCTGGTGCACTGTTTCAAACTTGGTGCCAAACATGTTGCCCTGGTAGCTGCCAAACTCCAAGAACTCGTTGGCAGAGATGCTCCTTGTCATCTCCTCCGTGGAGATGAAGTGGTACTCCTTCCCGTCTTCCTCATTCTTCTTGGGCAGCCGGGTTGTATCTGTGCACAAGAACCCAAGCCCCTGAAAAACTTGGGGTCCTCGCCATGGACCAGCAGAGAGGGTATTAGAGAGTTTCCTCCCATGGGATCCTTAAGGGCTGACAATAGGTGATGAGGCAGATCAGGAAATCCCCCATCCACCCAGAACACATTTAACGTTCAAGAGGCGAAGCCCAACATAAAAAATTCCTATCATTTCCCCTAACATGAAGTTACATCTCTCAAACTACCAACCCCAGGAATACTGAAGCTCAAAAATGAGCTGGAGATACTTTGAAAACAGATCTACAGGCTATGGTCAGAATTTTCTGGAAGTATATTTAAAGTTTTCTTTTCATAACTTGGAAAGAAGAGCACCTTTGGTTTCATTTAAACTCATATTGTTAAGTGTTGGAATGTTCTTAAGTCACAACATTTACTATTACTCACATAAGCTGTCCTCTAAGTAAATATGCTCCAGATAGCGCAGCTTGAAGCACCATCCTCCCCACCCCTCCCCACTGGGCCTCACCTGCTTTCCATCTCTACCGTCATCCTCAAGCCATAACTGCACATGCCTCTCCTTTCCATCTTATCTCACCCTCTTTCTATAACTCCCTTCTCATTCAGACTTATTAAATGACGAGCCTGTATTGGTTATTTCTACGTCTAGACACTTACTCCTCAACCTGGGCCATTTGCTTTCTGCCCCCAGTGTGTCACAATGTCCCTAAAGGTGAAATGGAGAAGCGAGGAATAAAAAAAATACTAATAGCAGGTTTAGAATCTAGTTTTCCACTTTGATAAGCAGAATCTCATCCTGGAAATGTACATAACCATACTATACAGATCCACTTCTGGGAATGGAAAGTATCTAATTCCCCACCTGACCACTGGCCGGATTCTTCCCCTACCCGGACTGCTGTGGACACTGTACCTCTCCTGAGCACTGCTTTGATTTAGAAGATATTTCGTGAAAATTAGAGGCAGCCCAGACATCAAACAAAAGTGAAGTAGGTAAGGAAATTACAGTAGAGCCACTCAGTGGGCTAGAAGAAAGTCCTCAAAGTGATTAAGGCACACGAGAAAATGTTTATAATGTAAACTAAAGAGAAAAAGTAATATACTTTTTTAAAAAATGTTTTTTAATTGATTTTAGAGAGAGGAAAGGAGAGGGATAGAGAGATAGAAACATCCATAAGAGAGACATCGATTGGCTGCCTCTTGCACATCCCCCACTGGGGATCCAGCCCACAACTCGGGTATGTGCCCTGACCAGGTGACTTCTTGGTCGACGCTCAACCACTTAGCCACACCAGCCTGGCAGTAATATGTTTTAATAACGTATTACTCGCTTCATTTTTTAGAGCAGGCTAAAAATGTTGACTACCACTTCTGTTATGTACATGAACAGCTTAGAAGAGAGGAAAAAAAACAGTTACATTGTTAGTTGGAGGGATTATGGGGTACAAATTTGTATCTTGTCTAAATTGTGTTCTCTTTTTATAATCAAACATTTCAAATAAAATCATCAAAAAAGGACCACTACGTTATCTCAGGTGGAGAGTGGTGCTCACTTACCCTCTGAGGCCCCCAGAGCTACTTACATGGGGCTGGGTACTCAAACTTCTCCGGGTGCTGGCTGAGCAGGGCATTCTTAATGTGGCTGCGACCCACCCCACTGGCTCCTGCAGGAGGGAAGAAAGAACCCAGGTTGCTATGATTTTAATGAAGGCTTCCATTTCTTTTCCCAAAGAGAAAGGAGGGGATGGAAGTAGGAATAAGATATGGGTTTTCATCTCTCAGAGCTTGAAATCGCCAACAGGTGACAGTGAGTTGGCACAGCTTCTGGGCTGGGGTCAGGTGAAAGCATTTTTTAGGCACAGGGGGATCTGGGGCTTCAGGCCCTTTTGTTCCAGTTGGGGAAGGCAGCTCTTTCTAGGGGCTAAGGGTCAGGACTTAGAACATTACTATTATTTCCACAGAGAAGCCAGATACCACCAGGGGGTGGTGGTGGCTCTATTTTCTAAGGATATTTGCTTTACTGAGCTCTCTCAAATGAATAGCGCTGAGTTTAAGCCGACGTTTTTATTGAAAATTTCACCGGAACCCTAATACAGATCTTCTAACCAACTAATATTTTAATTCTAAAGACAGGGAGGTGAGCCACCCACCAGAGCCAAGGCCCACATACCTGGGTTTGGAGTGAGGACTCATTTCGTTTCAAGGCCAGTGCTTATGTGGATGACTAAAGAGCTCAGAATACTTTTCAGGGCCATTTTCGTGGCTAACAAAGCACTCTAACAATGTACTTTAAAAAAAGCACAGGACTGGAACACCCCTACAGCCAACCAGATGAACACAGAGCAAAACCCAAGTCAGGACTGGCCAGCCATAAACCCAACCTAAAAGAATTAGTTGTTGAAAAACCTGTAAGGTTTAGTTGCACTTGTAAGGTGAACCCAGATGAGGTAAGAAAGTTCTTTATATCTGTTCTGTATGGAGAACCCAAGAGACAATCCTTCTTTTTCTTTTCTTTTTTCCCTGCCT